ACAGTATAGGGTAGAAGCTGATGCTTCCGACTATGCTGTAGGAGCCGTGCTATCACAGTTACAAGATGGCACATGGCATCCTATTGCCTTCCTGAGCAAGACACTGAACGCTGCTGAGCGCAATTACGAAATCTACGACAAGGAGATGCTGGCTATTATGACCGCATTAGAGGAATGGAGGCATTACCTTCTGGGAACAGCAGAGCCTTTTGATATCTGGACAGACCATCAGAACTTCACGTACTTCCGTGAAGCTCGCAAGCTTAATCGCCGTCAAGCCCGCTGGTTTACTGAGTTGCAGGACTACTACTTCGTCCTTACACACCGGCCAGGCAAAACAATGGGCAAGCCAGATGCTCTCTCCCGCGACGCCGTGAGAAACGAAGGCTTGCATGACAACGAGAACGTTGTGCTCCTCAAGCCTGAGTTATTCCGGCTGCTCCTCATTCAAGCAACGGTTGTAGATGTCCAAGGCATGGATCATACGTTCTTTGAACGTATTCGCGACTCCAATGCTGCTGTAGACGACAAGGTATCCAAAGCTCTTGCTGAGGATAAACAGCATCTACGTTGGAGTCAGCATGAAGACGGAGTTATTATCTCGGGAACAGCCTTATATGTGCCGTGCGACGACACCCTAAGCGCAGACATTCTTAAAGCACATCATGACACACCTATGGCTGGTCATCCAGGCAAGATGAAGATGTACAACTTGATCCGTTCAAACTACTTCTGGCCAGGACTTCGATACGACATTAAACGTTACACTAAGTCGTGCTCAGTCTGCCAAACGGTCAAGATTGATCTTCAACCACATCACGCTCCGTTACATCCCCATGATCCGCCTACTGCTCCCTGGGAGGTTATTGGTGTCAACTTCATTGGCCCACTACCCGAATCTGAAGGCTAGAACATGATTTGCGTCATCACCGACCATTTCACGAAGTTCGTCATCTATACACCTTGCCTCAACACTATCAACTCGGAGCAACTGGCACGTCTGTACAACGGACACCTCTATGGGATCTTTGGCATGCCTCGCCGAGTCATATCCGATCGAGGATCTGTCTTCATGTCTGAGTTCACTCGCACGCTCATGAAAATCCACAGTATTGAAGGAAATCCATCAACAGCATATCACCCTCAAACCGATGGTCAGACCAAACAACAGAACCAAGAGATTGAGGCATACTTACGCATATGGGTATCTCACCATCAGAATGACTGGGTTCGCTGGTTACCAGATGCTCAGTTTTGGTATAACAACTTGGTGCACTCCGCTACGGGTCATTCCCCTATTCAAGCCCTTACGGGTAGAGAACCGTACTCGGGATACAACCCTCGTGTGCAAACCAACATGCCGAATCTGGAAGCGTTAGCCGAGCAATGTAACCGCATCCAGGAGGAAATTAGCTCTGCATTAGCCGAGTCCAAATGGCTAATGAAAGAACAGTATGACAAACACATTGCCAGAGAACGTCCATACCAGATTGGCGATTATGTCTGGCTCAGCGCTAAGAACCTCAAGTCTGATCGGCCTATGAAGAAACTAGACGTCTTGCTCTACGGTCCCCCAGGCTTCCGTCCCGATCGCGAGCGTCCTTGCATTCAGGGTGTACGGCCGAG